GAGAGAGAGAGAGAGAGAGAGAGAGAGAGAGAGAGAGAGAGAGAGAGAGAGAGAGAGAGAGAGAGAGAGAGAGAGAGAGACCAGAAATGGTTAGTAAACCGGCTGGTGTTGCCATGCGGCGTTGGGTCCACGTAGCGAAGCAGGGATTCCCGTGACGAAGCGCTAAATATACAAACCAATGAACTTGAACACAGGAAGAGTTGCGTACCTTGGCCTGAATCGAGCAGGCGTGTCCTGGTATAAAAAGCAGTTTCAAATTGAAACCACAACATTCACTGACAATAACTGAGACCGTCGCTATCCGTGATTTATTGGAATTTATTTCAACTGATGAGTTTTTTGTGTGTTTTAAATTGATGTTTACATTTCACCTGGATACGATTGATAAACATTTGTTTTCATCGGACCCATTGAAACCTGTATGTGCAATTTGTGTTCCCATACCGAGCTAATAAAAGGAAATAACTTGAAATTATTCCAAAAATATTTCTGAATGAAAATCTTGAGTGAAACGTAGACACTTGACAAGATGTCAAACCTGGAGATATCCGTGAGAAAGCTTAGTTGAGCACCATCAGTGACAGTCGTCAGGACTGCGTGCCGTCAGATTTCACCCAAGGACAAATCCTTCACATTCCGATCGTGTTTTAGAGAGGATTGAACAAATCGCCTTCAAGCTTCGCAGCTGGCTGGGCAAACATTGTTCACATAGCTGTCAAACGGATCTTTGTTTCACTAAGCCGAGCTAGACAGCTCGGAATGAATGAGTTGCCGGCTCTGTTTGTGAGGACACATTGTGCCTGAGAGACTTTGTCATTGAGGAAGCTTCACCCTGTGTGTCTACTCTAAAGAGTAATTAACTTTTTTTGATTGATCAGAAGTCCACTTACAGTCAGCGCGGTTAGCTTAATCTGAAACTTTTTAAAAATAGATACCTACTCTCCAAAAGACCGCAATGGGTCGCAGAGCTGGTACCAACAGTTCCCCCGTTGACAGCGCAATGGCGCGCTACTACAACGACGTGGGCAGCCGGCTATCCGGCGTGTTTATGCCCACATCTGAGGCCGAAAAAACTCTTTCCGATGACTTTTGTATGCTGACCCTTGACACCCGCAGCTGGAACCGAGTACGGAACAGTCGTGCAGGTACGTCAGCCATGACGAACTGCGCCCACAAGTCCCAGATGAACTCATCCAATCGTAGCCTGCGCTCGACGACTTCCTCCGGGGTGAGCTCACTGTCCAGCTCGCACAGCGGAAACGAGAAAACCCCCAAAGGTAAGATGCGCCTGGTGGACAAACTCACACGGGCCCTCTTCCAGAAAAAACATATGTGCTCCCGCTGCAATAAGCGAAGCCGCACGTGCCTTCCAAATAAGACTTTTACTCACACGGAAAAGCACTACACGTGCGCGTCGTGCCGCGAGCAGACCCAAGCTGTCAGGACACTTTTCAAGCAGCACGACCGCGCCACGACCTCGACGCTCCCACCTTCAGACTCCGTCTCGGCGGTTCCAACACAACAGAACCAAGAACGGACGGAACCCCAAACCCGCACACACAACACAGACTCCGGCTACGACACGGCGACGTCGTGCTCCACTCTGGCCTCAGCTTATTCGGCCTTCAACAGCCCCGTGAACACCGTCAAGTCAACGGCTGGGGTCAGGAAGGTCAAGGACGATTTAGTTTGGGAGAGGACATCTCAAAACGGCGATGATGAGAATTCGACCACGCAGATGAACCACCGAGAACCTGTGCAGGACGCCCACGCGGGAAGAAGCCCGCAACTGTCCGGTGAACTGTATCAACTCTTGGGGGTCGGCCATTCTCAGACATCTGGTGTCTTGAGACAGGTCAGACCGAGACTCGTGCACAACTACGACGGCTATCTCCCCGAGGTTGACTTTGAGAACTTCGAAAAATGTGACGTCAGATCTGCATTGCCCGATGCTGGGACATTTGAAGGCCGCACCGTCGACGGTACTGCGTGTGATCTCACGGCAAACGACGGCCGCGTGGGGTCGAGTCTCGGCTGTAAGGTTTGTCACATATGCGGGTCTGCCGAGAAGCCCAGTTTCAGGCTCCCGTTGGTAGGAGGATGGCTCTGTGAAGACTGTCTCGACGTTGTGCACTGAGACATGGCTCTGTGAAGACTGTCTCGACGTTGTGCACTAAGACATGGCTCTGTGAAGACTGTCTCGGCGTTGTGCACTGAGACATGGCTCTGTGAAGACAAAGACCTTCAGGACAAACTTAAAATAGCTCAAGGATATTATTCAAAGTTTACGACTTCAAGCCTGAGAAACAAAGCAGAGTGTATTTCTTGGAATTGCTACGGTAGTCTTCATTAAAGACGTCATTATCATTTTTTTTTTTTTAAAAAGGTGACTCTTAGCGAGCTCGTACCAAAGTGACATTTTCAAACATTTCCCAAAAGGGATATTTACTGGACGAATGGTGTTACAAACGCAAACATTTTTTTAAAATATCATTTATTGTGTAATATTTTGAGTTGCCTTAGATATGGATAATTGTAAATTGCTTGGTGTTTTGAATTCAAAATGTATAGGCCTAAACTGTGATTCGGCCCTGTGTGCACAAATAGCCCATGACAACGACCTCTAGCTCAGAGAACAGTAAACTTCAGACCACGTGTGACGACCCGGTTGTCTAATCTTGGTGGTGATCAGACGCAACAAGTCCTTGCCACTCCTTGCATTCCTAGCATACCGTCCTTTAATAGGCGATTTGTCCCGTAATATTGGACCAGCCCTCCCCCTTCACCGTACTAACCACCAAACGATTGGTGGACTGACAGGGCCGTTTGAGGGAAATATTGATTGATTTCTGCCTGAATTTAGAACAGCTTTCATTGAGTCCTCGGCCTACACCCTGCACTTTTAAAGTTTACTATAATATTAGACTTGATTAAACACGAAAAGCTTTTGAATATAATTTGGGAACTTGCATTATTTAAATATCAAATTGTGGTTACCGTATCACGTTTGCATTATTCTAATATTAATATCAAATTGTTGTTACCGTAACATAATTGCATTATTTTAAAATCAAATTGTTGTTACCGTAACATAATTGCATTATTTTAAAATCAAATTGTGGTTACCGTAACATGATTGAATTATTTTAATATCAAATTGTTGTTACCGTAACATGATTGCATTATTTTAAAATCAAATTGTGGTTACCGTAACATGATTGAATTATTTTAATATCAAATTGTTGTTACGGTAACATGATTGCATTATTTTAATATCAAATTGTTGTTACCGTAACATGATTGCATTATTTTAATGCACGTGGCCTATAAGTATTTTTAAATCTAATTTTGTCACAAACCTGTAAATGTGTCCGCCATGATGGATAGATTAGGATGTTGGTCTGACTGGTACACACACACGTTTTTGTTTCTTTGTTTCACTTGTTTCCGCCTGGTGGTTAGTATTTAGGACTTGACACGTGTCAAAACAGTTGCAAAATACTATGGTCAATTTGATCTGGCAACTTAATCAGAAATTTGTTAACTGTTGCCTGTGATGATTTCGGCCTTAAACTTAAATTTACCATGACTATTGCCAGTGCTGGACACACAATGTAGTACGCACCGTGGAGCCTACTCTTGTACACATAAATGTATGCAGTGCAGTTGTAATTAATGTCTAAATATTGCCCACAGCCATGAGCCGTCTCAAGCAGCACCGTAACCCATTTAGAGGATCACCTGCTCTACTTCCTTATGAGTACATTTGTATCTTTAAACTAACATTAATTCATTGAGATATTATTTGTAAATTTTGTTTCAAGATGGCTGAGGTTAGATCTAATCAAATTGTTAAGATGACCGTGACCATGGAATTATTCGAATGGACCATTTCTTTTGAATAGAGAAACAAATTATAGATGACTCATTGTCACAAGAGGATTAAATTCATATTTAACGTTTCCTGATCTAGTGTTTCAAACACAATACTTCCCACTCATGAATAAAAATTTTAATATTATAGTTTGGACTTACCCATGACACACTGTTTCATAAATTGACGCTGTCTAGTTGTTAATGTTTGTGGACTACTTCACTACTCAGACTCAGTGTTCATTATAGTTAAAAATATGACAACTTGGACTAGATTTAAATCAAACTGACTAGGACTGGACTAGATTTAAATCAAACTGACTAGGACTGGACTAGATTTAAATCAAACTGACCAGGACTGGACTAGATTTAAATAAAACTGACTAGGACTGGACTAGATTTAAATCAAACTGACTAGGACTGGACTTGATTTAAATCAAACTGACTAGGACTGGACTAGATTTAAATCAAACTGACTAAGGACTGGACTAGATTTAAATCAAACTGACTAGGACTACAGAAGAATTTAATATATAGATTGATTATTGATATAGAACTTAGAAGCTGTCATGGCGGCAGTGACTTCTTAATCTTAGAGCAGATTTTCACACTTTGTTAAAGTTAAAGTTTGCTTAGACATAAAATATAAAAACTTGCCACCAGAGATTATTCTGCATTTACGTATGGCATGTGCTATACATATGGCTATATATTTATCATGACCGGGTTATACTGACCTATACATATGGCTTTGAAATGTTTTTTGACCTTAACTTTGTACGTATGCCCTGGTTAAACATTACTATACATATGACTTGAAATGTTTTATCATGACCTATGTAAGGTGATTAATGATGGATGTTCATATTTTTGTTTCAAATCATCATCTCATGACGAATTTTTCTATATTTAAATAAATCCAGTGCAATTTTGAGTATAATTTTGTACATAGCTAGTCAGTTTGCCTCAAAGAAGGGATCTTGACTGTAATTATTGCCTTTCTTGTTACATTTGATCAATACAACTTGTTACATTTGATCAATAAAACTTGTTTTCCATATTATATGAACCAATGTCTCCGTCTTCTGTATTGTATGGTGTTATTTTAAAATTATATTATTGGACCCGTCTATAAGTTTGATCAATGGAGTTAATATGAAAGCTACGTATTATATAGTTTAGCAATCTATGGCCCATTGAGTTAATATGACAGCTACGTATCATATAGTTTAGCCATCTATGGCCCATTGAGTTAATATGACAGCTACGTATTATATAGTTTAGCAATCTATGGCCCATTGAGTTAATGACAGCTACGTATTATATAGTTTAGCAATCTATGGCCCATTGAGTTAATGACAGCTACGTATTATATAGTTTGGCAATCTATGGCCCATTGAGTTAATATGACAGCTACGTATTATATAGTTTAGCAATCTATGGCCCATTGAGTTAATGACAGCTACGTATTATATAGTTTAGCAATCTATGGCCCATTGAGTTAATATGACAGCTACGTATTATATAGTTTAGCAATCTATGGCCCATTGAGTTAATGACAGCTACGTATTATATAGTTCAGCAATCTATGGCCCATTGAGTTAATATGACAGCTACGTATTATATAGTTTAGCAATCTATGGCCCATTGAGTTAATGACAGCTACGTATTATATAGTTCAGCAATCTATGGCCCATTGAGTTAAAATGACAGCTAAGTATTAAATTATTAAATAGTCTAGCAATCTATGGCCCACTGAGTTAATATGACAGCTAAGTATTAAATAGTCTAGCAATCTATGGCCCATTGAGTTAATATGACAGCTACATATTAAATAGTCTAGCAATCTATGGCCCATTGAGTTAATATGACAGCTACGTATTATATAGTCTAGCCATTGATTTTCAAATGATTTTTGTTGAAACAAATATGAGAAAAGAGAAAAGATTTGATTTGTCTTGACAAAAATGAGTGTATTAGAAATAGTGACATAGAAATCCTTACATCATCTCAAAATGCACACTATGAAATATTCCCCGAGAAAAGTTTCACAACAGCTTTCAAACCTGGGGTGGGTTGTTGTTGCCAGTTCTCAAATCATCACATGGGAATCGCAAGTATTTATCACAAGAATAAATCTTATATATCAAAGGTTCTCAACAACTTTGCTTCTACAATATGGTGTCACGATTTGAAAAAAGGTTGGGAACCTGTGTTGTACAGACAAGATAATTTTGCGATAATAAAAACAGATTCCTGATAGGTGTATAGCAGGAAGAAAACTGGTCCATTGATCTATTTATAAGACAAATATTCACATTCATTCCATTAGCATTATTGAACACTTTAAATTAAACATAATACAAGTTCCATTAGCATTAGTGAATGCTACAAATTAAACATAATACATGTCCAGTGGTATTATTGAACACTACAAATACCGGTACTCAAAAAAGATAGAAAGCCATTTTAAAAATCATTGCAATTTCGTAATTCATCAAATGCTCATCTGGTGCCTAAATGTTCACTCAAAGTTCCAATCCACACATACATTTATAGCAGTAGTCAACCTAAATAGGAAACTGTTAATGATAATATACAATTAATATCTGAAATATTATCAATTTCAAACAAAAAAAATAATGATAAATCTGCAATTTTGTCACAACTAAGATATGTGATTTCTTAAATGTCTCTCTATAACAGGCCTGCACAACATAAGGCCCGCCAGCACCCACTTGGTGTCCCGGGAAGTAACCAAATATTCTTTATTGTTATTATTTTCTTAATAGCTAACCCCCCCCCCCATATCTTTTGGTCAACACAAGTTTTACATAGAGTATTACAGCCCGCCCTTACATATAACATAGATCTTAATAAAACTTAATGTATCCTTTTATCGGATTAACATAAAGATGCTATAATGTAATAGTAAAGAAGCTATTTGACAACAATTATCTACATGACATGCATTGAAATCTGGAATTTCTTTTCAAATTTTGAGGTTTAAATGTAAACCAGCTATCACTAAAAAGATTTTTTTAAAATAACTTGATGAAAATAGTCTCATCAGACGATGTAGTTCTAGTGCAGCGGTCAGCAAACTGGGTCAATTATTCCAATTGGGGTAAAGAGGAAAATTGGGGGAAATGAAGGCTCAATAGATCTAAATAAAATAACATAATAACGAGTTCATTTTTTAAATATACCAGGAAGAGATCCTCAATGATGAGTTTGCAAAAATACAGAAGACCAAGAAATATTGAAACCACAGACAAAGACCGTACAGCGACTGGAGAGGCACATTCGATCAGCGTTCAGCATCAAAGGCTAGCTTTGAAGTGGCCCGGATGAATTCCTGAAATTAAAAGCAGTTTACTATTTGTGAGGAATCTGTTAAACCAGTTGCTTTGAAAATGTCAGTGATCCTGTGTGGTCACAAAGAAGCCACCAAACTAAATTCAGTGCCCCTGTCAACAAAGGTTGTATTTCTATTTGAGCAGAAAATGTGAGGGAACAAGAAAGAAAATGTTTTGCTCTTCAGCTTCTTGATGAGACAGCAGATGTCAGGCGTAATGCGCAGATGATGGTGTCAGTTCGCTGCAGAGGTTCACATGCGATTGAAGAGGAATTGTTTTGTTCTCCTCTCGGGTTGCGATCTTGTAGAATTGATGACTCTATATGTCTTTATTGTTAATTTAAAGCAGGAAGACCACTTTGCCGAGTCTCTTGATAGAGAAGCCCAAGCTTTGGTGGGTCATGGTAGGGGTTTTTCAGTTTGGCAAGAGAGAATATCCAAAAATCCATTGCCAGGCACTGCACTGAACAAAGAAATCCAAGGGAAAAATATCCATATCATATTGGCCACAGAAAAGCTCTACATTATTGGAAAAAGAAAGCTGAACAAAACAAGGTGGAAGCCTTTTCTAGATGACATCAAGTCAACAATAATAAGGCATCTTACCAAAAGAGTCTCAGATTATTTCCAGATCTTGAGTCACATACTGTCCGTTAGGTTGTAGATTCATTTACTGTTGCTATTGCTGAGTATCAGGAGAACCTCAAGGGTTGGCAGAGGCACTTCTTGAATGTGAAAATAAAGCAAATAATATTTTTGGATGTCAAGAGCTGCAAAGAGGCTTTTTAAAATTGCACACGAGGAGGCAATAAAAAAGATTATGTCTTTGCAGCAACCTATCTTTGTGAACATGAATTTTTCACTCTGATGAATGGTACAGCCTAACAGAGAGCACTGAAGACAGCGTACAAATTGCTCTGACATCCAAAACAGAGAGCACTGAAGACAGCGTACAAATTGCTCCGACATCCAAAACAGAGAGAACTGAAGACAGCGTACAAATTGCTCTGACATCCAAAACAGAGAGCACTGAAGACAGCGTACAAATTGCTATGACATCCAAAACAGAGAGCACTGAAGACAGCGTACAAATTGCTCTGACATCCAAAACAGAGCACTGAAGACAGCATACAAATTGCTCTGACATCCAAAAACTCCAATTTTGTAAAAAAAATTTTTATAAAACAATAATATCGTTTCTCCAGTCTGAAGTAAAGAAAATTCAACAAAAAATCCTTAAGTTCCACAATGAGGATTTGTATTAATTTATTTATTTGATACTTTGACATTTCTATTTACATTATCCAGATAAATGGAGTCTCTAACTCTTTTGAATTTAAATGTTGGATGAAGATTTTCTTCCTTTCAAATCCTGGGGGTAATGATGGCTTCAAAAAAATATTATGGAGTAATGGCTAAATAAGGTTGCCGACCCCTGCTCTGGTGGTTTGCTGTCCAATTGAAAACTGATTTTTTGTTGTCACTGAAATGGATTTATTTTACGCCTTTTTACAATTTAACAACTATAAACTGCCACATCAAAGGAAAAATGTAGTGCTCAGTTCTATGGAAGCTTAGAAGAAGTTTACTATGATAAACTAAGTGTTCACAAGATTACACATTATAATTAGCATTTTGAAAAGAGAAACATGGTTATAATATAGAGATGCAAAGTACAATTTAACAGGTATGTGTTTTATTTTATAATGAGGTTGAGGAAATGGACAGGGAATGGTGCAATTGGAAGCACCATTTAGTTACTTCCAAAGTTGGACAGATATTTTATGGGACCTTCTCAATGTTACGTATTCACTAAGGAGGCAGTGGGGGGTGCCGATAGGGAATAGTCGTCCTTCGACACATCGTGTTTCCACTTTTCCCGCTTCGCTCTATTGCAGTCTCGTCTCCCCCCCCCCCCATTCGAGCATCCCCTGATCATCTGATACAGGTAATGTTAAAAAACTCCTTCGACACATCGTGTTTCCCCTTTTCCCGCTTCGCTCTATTGCAGTCTCGTCTCCCCCCCCCCCATTCGAGCATCCCCTGATCATCTGATACAGGTAATGTTAAAAAACCGTATGTAGAGGGTAGTGAACAGGTTTTCTAATTCTGTGTTCTAACTTTGAAAATATCTGCCTTATAAATAAAGAATCCTACTTTGTGGAAACTCACTTATCACAGTAGAGTCTGAAACTGATTAACCACAATAAACGAGGGTGACTGTATTGCATATTGGCCTCGGTCGCAGAGAAGCATAACTACATAAAAGTATGACAGCATTAAAATATTCACTTATGTGTCATAATTTCAAGACAAAAAAAACACCTGATAATCTGGCGCATCTGCCAGATAACATATTCACTCATAGGACTGCTGTATCCCAGTGATTCCCACACTATAGTAATTTCTATTTCCTTTGTGTTGATTCATATGTTTTTCTTTTCTTATTTCTTAAAAATGACATGAAATCTTCTTTTAATAATATTATGTATTTTTGTTTTTATTCTCAAGCTGGAATTGATGCACATATTTCCCTGTACTACATTAATGACTTGACCCATTTATGGGGAATGTCACTATATCAGTTGTTTCAATTTCAAGACTTCCGAAACAAAATAAATTTTGCTGTATCAGTGCATCTATTTCTTCATGTTTCTGACTACTGCCCTAACTAAAAAAATAGAAGCCAATGTGGCGCAAGCAGTCATTAGTAATGAATCAAAGATGTGCTTAAGAGATGGTTCACGTACATAGGTCACCTGTTTGAATATGAGTTTATAAACATCCATCACTTGAACCTTGCCAGACAAATGGCTAAACTACATGTCTTCTATTTAAACTGTATGCATTATGTCTTCTGCTTACAAGGTATTTCTAATGTCTATCAGATAAAAGTTATTTTGTAAGTGAGAGGTTAGCAGATCTAATGACATAATTAATGAAGGACATTTGTCCTTACTCGAATCTTAAACCTCCAGTATTTGAAATGACAGCATGAACAAATATTTTTCTAAAAGGAGACCTCCAGTATTTTAAATGACAGCATAAACAAATATTTTTCTAAAAGGAGACCTCCAGTATTTTAAATGACAGCATAAACAAATATTTTTCTAAAAGAAGACCTCCAGTATTTTAAATGACGGCATAAACAAATATTTTTATAAAAGGAGACCTCCAGTATTTTAAATGACAGTATAAACAAATATTTTTATAAAAACAATGAATAAACAAATACTGAAGAGATCACCGTTTTGAACTGGACCATCTTTGGTATTTGTCAAAACATAAAGCATCAAAATAAAATTGGTTCCATGTAGTAGATCCATATGTTAAATTAATAAGCCTAAAATTTTATTAAAACGAGAAACCTAACAATACTAACAACAGCTAAGGAAAATACATTTCTGAATGATAGCTGTAATAGCTAGCCTTTATTCTCTACATTAAAAGTTTTAAGGTTTTTAGAATTAATATGATCTATCTCATGAAACCAAATCCAATAGAAAGTGTATCATGTCAAAGTCGGGTCATGGCCACCCTGTAACAGAGCTTCCGGACATCACCGTCATAAAATGCTCAACTTGAGCAGTTGACATGACAGATTTCCATTAAGTTGACATCCCTACTGCTTGACCCAGCACTCAAAACACACTGCTACTTTCTAGTTGACCCCCGGGACTTGGATAAAACACCAACACATTGCTTCTGTTTGTAAAGTCAATATTTTATCTTGGATCCCAGAAGAGCCTGCTAACGAAAGTGAGTCAATTATGTGAGAAGAGCGCTAGGGGTAGAAGCAGTAGGGATTTAACCTCAGCATCCTGTAACTTCCGCACTCTCCCCGCTCCGTTTGGTCACATGCATCGAGGTGAATGTCTATGGAGCAAGAGTGATGAATGGAAATAAACCATTTAAAAATCAATTTAAACATCTGTGAGCATGCCATGCACACCTTGCTATCTTTATTATTGAGGTACCATTATATATTTATATAATTAGTACTAAAATGAAGATTATATAATCATTATTAAAATTAAGATATCTTTCAACAAGAAAAGTTGGTTATGTGTGGGAGTGAGAGATTTTCTCAAGAATTTATTCATAGCAAGTTTAGGTACAAACAAATCTTTTGGGTCCAATAAAAATCATTTCTCCTAGAGTGGCATATTATTGAGTACTATATAGTTACTTAAATGTACTGAAGTTAATTTACTGTTTTTAAATTAAACAGTCATATGATTTAATTGTCGATATTTCAGAATTCCGTTTCAAAATATTTACCAATTCAAAGAACATATTGTATTATATTCCTATTTAAAGTATTTAAAGGTTATATAAAGTTTAATAGATTACCTCACTACAAGTAGGATGGATCCCAATTGTAGAATCAAAATCTTCCTTTGTTGCTCCTTTCTTTAAAGCTACTGCATAACCTTGAGTAATCTCCCCAGCATTAGGTCCCAAGACATGGAAGCCTATGACACGCTCCTGTTTAAAATATAATTTTTTTTTTTTAAAGTCAATATTATTTATTGCAGAATATGAAAAATTTGTAAGTCCCCAGGCAGTGCTCTATTTTTAGAATCAGATTAATTTCTAAAATAACTGAGACTTTCTAATTTTGACTGCCCATTATCTAAATAAATCAAAACCATTAGGAATATTCAGCTACAAACTAGTCAAGTGGTTTCATATCCATTGATCAATAAATATGTCTATACTACTTATAATTGGATGAGTGCTGCAATAAATGTTTTTTCTGTTTGTGTTTATTTATGGGTGGGTTGTGTCTGCAAGCTATTTCTCTTTAAATTATATTGTTGTTTTTTTAAAATAATTTTTTTAAAAACTAACACACATCACCCGCACTAAAAATTAACGGCTATTTTAATTTTTAAAAAATTAACTAAATTTTTATCTTTTTGAGCAGTTTAGTAATGAGAACTCAATTCATTGTCATTAAAAGAAAACATTTTCTGAAACTTTTAATAATCAAAATAAAATGCCTTAAAAACACTATCGCATATTGTAAACTATAAAACCAGAACAAAATCTCTAAGTCAACACCCAATCATGGCATGTTTTCTTTTTTTTTTCCATATTATCAATCAATACATCAGCATTTCCCAAACTTTATTTTTGTGTGGCCAGGTCATTTTTAAACAATAATGTGACCCACTAACTTTGACTAAAAAATTTGTACCGGTATAGATTATTCTGGCCATTAGTCATTAGGTATAGATTATTCTGGCCATTAGTCATTAGGTATAGATTATTCTGGCCATTAGTCATTAGGTAACAAAAAACAGATTTGACTGTCCATACAATTTTTGTATCTTTAATGTTAACATGCATATTCTTTATAAGAAAAAATGAAAAGAAATCATCAGATTATTGTAATTCATCAATGAAAAGTGTGATTTTATTGTAGAGATCTGTAAGGAGAAAAACAACAATTTCAAAGTAAAAACCAGCAAGGCTTTCAAGAAATATTCCGCAACCCCGTATTTTTATTTCGACCAGGCATTTGGGAAATGCTGCAATATTCTATACTAATAGTCTGTAGAAGTTCAATGTTAGTAGTTGACTGCAGGAGACATTACTTTATTAATTATGTGAAAGTATAAACAATAAGATACAAAACAGTAAATTGAACTACTGGAAACACTAAAGCTACAATCACATTGGATCACTTTTACAAAATAAATTTGAAAACCATTGGTCTGAAATATCATTGAAATATGGTTCTAATGTGATAGTAGTGCCTTACGAAATTGCAGTACCTCCAAATTATATAATTATTGAGGTATAATTTTTAAGACCTATTTTTAAAAAGCTTACATGATCAGCCTTGTTGCATATAAGTTTCGCGTAGCATGTGTTTTCTTCTCTGTGGGGTACTGTCCACTCCAAAGGCATAAAAAAGCTGTGATACACCTAACAAGTCAGATTAAAATAGATTCACAAGGTTATGATGGAAGAGATCAAAGACATTTGTAACTTTCTATGAGATAGAACTATTCAAGGTTACTCGATTAAAATTGAAATTGTGTCACACTATATATGAAAGAGGAAAATGCACAAATTGTTATCAAATGTTATTAACCTCAATGTTCTCCTCCCCAAACTTGTCAATTGCAGCTTCTTCAGAGTATCCTATACAGCCATATTCTAGAGGTGTAAAAACAGTTGTTGCAATATTGGTGTAGTCAACCTGTAAATGTAGGGGGAAAAAAAAAAAACTAGAATATTCTAAAAATAAAGACTATTTGTAGCATGATCAAATAAAAAATAAAAGAATTAATCTTAGCTGAATAGATGAGCTTTTGTTTTTTACTACAATAAAATTGGGATTAAAAAAAAAAAAATTACATTTTTTTCTTCTATTAATTATTATATAAAATATTTCACAAAATAAAGCATAGTAGGTTAACCCTGGAAAAACAGGAAAGAATTTAAATAATAATAATACAGCAGAATTTTTCTTTCTTATAAAAAAAGGAACAAATATTTACTATTCTACAGAAATATAAGTTAAACAGTTATGTTTTTTATTTTGATTTGGTATTTAATATATAAATTTCTTTTACAATTAGATAACTTTTGCAGGCAAGTTTGCCGAATTGAAAGTTACAATTATTCATACAAATACAAAGTCAAAATATGTTATATTTTTTCCCTCTCCCCACAATGAGTCCCCAAGTAAAATCAATGTCTCAAAACAATGAACCCCTGTAAATAGCACAGTTTTAAAAAAGCTAATATTTAAAAATACAAAAATGATGTTCTATTCCTTTTTAGTACAGACATTTTAAATGGCATGCCTCACAGTCAAAATGATATGGTTTCATATTATTATACCTTTGTTGTAAAGGATGGCTCAAAAATTCTCTTTGCCAAAAGCTTCCCAGCATGGATTGCAACAGGTGTCAGTTGAGGTCTGGTATCCCCAATGTCACCAATAGCATAGATGTTGGCTATGTTTGTCTTCTCTCCTGCATCCACTAAAACTCGCTGAGTGCTATAGATAAATTTAACAATCAATTCTTGAAAGAATTAACAATTAGAAATAAAACAGAAATACAAATCAAAGATGGTGCCATACCTCAAAACAAAATAATTAAAAAATATTGTGACCATTTCCTTTTTATTTGCAACTATAAAAAGAGTAAAACAGAGTATGGTTAAACCTGAAAAATTAAACGCAACAAAACAGCGAACGTGTCGGCAGAAAGCCTTCGTCAGCGAACAAAACAACAGAAAAAACGTTATAAAAATAAGAAATAGCACTTANCTGCCACACTTCATTTGCTGCCCACAGATACTACTTACCAGCTAAGTGCTATTTCTTATTTTTATAACGTTTTTTCTGTTGTTTTGTTCGCTGACGAAGGCTTTCTGCCGACACGTTCGCTGTTTTGTTGCGTTTAATTTTTCAGGTTTAACCATACTCTGTTTTACTCTTTTTATTTTGTACTAACCTGATTGCAGTCTCTCCCCTTATTACCCCTTATTTGCAACTGCTGGACATGTAATTTAACTAAAACTAAAATGTCTGTTTTCCTTACTTGGGATTTAGACTGACTCCAACATTTTCAAGACCTATTCCTCTTGTACAAGGATCTCTTCCAATGGCAAAGAGAATCTGCACATAAAAATTATTTAACCCCATGAAAATCAAAATTCTCTCTAGTCAGATATGAAGACTTCATGTAGAGTGCATGACATTATTTCCTTTAATCATTATTGACCTTATTTCTCTAAGCTCCAAATAAAAATATTTCTTGTGCAGCTAGAGGTAAAATTAGATATCTAATGAATGATTCAATAAGGTTATGAATTTATGCAGTGATACTTCATAGCACTTAATTTGTTACTATGTATATTAGAACCACAAAACAAACTTTGTTTATTTGCATGTAATTATATATTCATACTTCATTGCAAGTGATAAAAAGGTACACAAATTGTATAACTTACTGTATTGTATTCATCTACAACTTCTGCACCATCAGCATTTACTGCTGTAACTCTGTACCTGCCAGGTTGGCCTTTTTCGATCTGTTCAATCTGGGGTTAAGAATTAAAAATGTCCAATAAGAACAAATATTTTTAAATAAATTATGCACCATTTTACACTTTAACCAAACCAATTCCCAAATATCTTACAAACAAAAATTAGAAACATGATCTTTATTAAGGATAAAAATAAAATGTTTAAAAAAAGTTGATTCATTAACTATCCTAGAAATAATAAATAATTTATTGCAAACTAGAATAAGAGTTTTGATCTATGATTGACTAAATATAATTTGATTCATGTAATGCAATTACTTTCTGAATGAACAGACTTTTAAAAAAGTCAAAATTTAGGAAATTCAATCTGATGCATCGAATGAGCAATCAAATAAATGCCTTAACTTGTATCATTCAAAATTATAC